TTCCCGCTGGAATTCCCGGTAATTCCCGTTATTCCCATTCCCGTTAATTCCCGCTGGAGTTCCCGGTGTTAATTCCCGTTAATTCCCGGTGAAATTCCCGTTAATTCCCGGTGAAATTCCCGCTGGAATTCCCGGTAATTCCCGGTGAAATTCCCGGTAATTCCCGGTGAAATTCCCGTTAATTCCCGTTAATTCCCGGTGAAATTCCCGTTAATTCCCATTAACTCCCGGTGAAATTCCCGTTAATTCCCGCTACAATTCCCGTTAATTCCCGGCGAAATTCCCGTTAATTCCCGGCGAAATTCCCGTTAATTCCCGGCGAAATTCCCGTTAATTCCCGGCGAAATTCCCGTTAATTCCCGGCGAAATTCCCGTTAATTCCCGGCGAAATTCCCGTTAATTCCCGGCGAAATTCCCGTTAATTCCCGGCGAAATTCCCGTTAATTCCCGGCGAAATTCCCGTTAATTCCCGGCGAAATTCCCGTTAATTCCCGGCGAAATTCCCGTTAATTCCCGGCGAAATTCCCGTTAATTCCCGGCGAAATTCCCGTTAATTCCCGGCGAAATTCCCGTTAATTCCCGGTCCAATTCCCGTTATCCCGGATCCCATTCCCGGTATTCCCGGTGTTTTTCCCGGTACTCACGGTCCGGCCCCGCCTCCGGAGCAGCTAAAGGGCGAAGCTCCGGAGCCTGGGGCTCCATTCCCGGGACAATTCCCGGTAATTCCCGGTACCCCCGGTCCGGTTCCCGTTATCCCGGACCCCACTCCCGCTATTCCCGGTGTAATTCCCGTCGGAATTCCCGGTAATTCCCGGTACTCACGGTCCGGACCTGCCTCCGGAGCAGGTAAAGGGCGAAGCTCCAGAGTTTGGCGGCGAAGGCCACGAAGGAGCGGAGGCCGAGCAGGCACTGGCTGCGCATCCTCGCGCTCCCGGCCCCGCCGCCGCCGCCTCTGCCGAGCTCCGCCAGCTCCGCCGCCGCTCCCGGAGCTTCCCGGGGGCGATTCCGGGGGGTCCCGGGAGGCTTTTGGGGGGTCCCGGCCCTCAGCGAGGACCGAGCGGCGCCGCCGCCAGCGCCGCCATGGCCGCCATCACCCCCCCAACCCCCGGGCCGCCGCTTCCGGTGCGCCGCTTCCGGCGGCGCCGCTTCCGGGGCACGCACGGGGGGGGCGTGGCTCAAACAGAGAACCCGCGCTGATTGGAGGAGACGGGGCGTTGTTTTTAATATTAATGAATGATTGACAGCTCGTGTAAATTCAGGCGCGGGGTTTCCGCCCCTGATGAATGGATGATTGACAGCGCGTGTATGCAAATTAAGGGGCGGGGTCTCTGCCGGTGCGATTAATAAATGCTGAATGATTGACAGCGCGTTTAAGTAAATTAAGGGGCGTGGTTTGAGCTGCCAGGATGATTGACAGCTCCTTTATGCAAATTAAGGGGCGTGGTTTGAGCTGCCAGGATGATTGACAGCTCCTTTATGCAAATTAAGGGGCGTGGCTCGAGCTGCCAGGATGATTGACAGCTCCTTTATGCAAATTAAGGGGCGTGGCTCGAGCTGCCAGGATGA